GTCATGTTGTGTTTCAGTGSTTTCGTGTTGACGTGACGTGTAGTGTTTGTTTGTATTCTGGAATGTGCGATATTTTCTCGAGTGGGGTTTTCTTTTTAGGGGGAGTTAAACAAGTGACGGGGTGGGGGTAGGGGTACTTGCTTGGGTGGCAAAAAAAGGTAGTGTTTTGCATTGTGGTCATCAGGTGAAGGGGTGGGGGTGGTGGCTAAACAGAACTGCCCGGTAAACCGTTGGCAGAGAGAGAGAAGAGGACAACAAACGAGGGGCTGTGACAAACTGTTTCGTCGGAGTTTCACCGACTCATCAGGAGGCTGAACCCTCAACAGTCTGCATAATCCCCTCACTGATTACACTGTAAATGATAATCTACCTTAACTAAAATCAAAGTAGACTATCACTCACCCACACCGGATGGAAAACTCTACAGAGTGTCGGTTCACACCCCATCACAAGCCAGCAAAACATCCACGAAACAAAGAAAGGTCTGACACAGCCAAAAAATACACTCCAGACACGCCGTCTGTGCTTTCTTTTAATTTGTGTATTTTTTGGGGGGGGATAACATGTTAATCGGGTTTTTTTTGAAGCTACGACTTCAGTGTTTCTGGATAGTCTAATTTTTCATTTTCTTTTGGGGAAGCTGGAGAATTTGTGGTGCCTCGCTTTTTAGTCAGTGTCCTTTAGCTTGTGTCTTTTTTGTAAGTTTCACGTTTTATTGGAACTATCTTCGCTCGTCGTTTTCCAAAGGCTCTGTATTGCGATGGGGTTCTCTTTGTCATGTTCTGCTTTAGTGCGTTTGCGTAGGTGTGACGTGTTTGTATTTTAGAAAGTGAGATATCTATTCGGGTGGGGCAGTGGGGATACTTGCTTGAGTGGCGAGAAAGGTAGTGTTTTGCGTTGCGGTCGTCAGGTGAAGGGGTGGGATTGGGGTGTATTTGTTTTTTACTTCTTTGTTTGGGGGTGAGGGCTGGCCGTCTAGGCTTCTTTTGGCTTGCGTATTTTTTTGGGGGGGGTAACATCCTTCTTTGTATGTTTTTTATAAAAAAGTGTGTATATTTTATATATATTTATATATGTATGTGTGTTTTTATTTATTTGTAATTTGTGAGTGAGTATGTGTGTGTGTGTGTGTGTGTGTGTGTGTGTGTGTGTGTGTGATTTCCCCCCCAACAGCCCCAATTCCACCCAGATGAATAGATTTAGAATCAAATCAGTCTTTGTCGTATTGCAGACAACGGGAGCATTTGAGATGAGCCAGTCGCAATCCAACATACTAAGGCAATTTTATAATTAGACAGTTTTCAGTTGTCCTTGGGGTACCCCTTCCATTGTTCTTGCAGCTGTGTGTGTATGTGAGTGTGTTCAAGATAAGTCGTGTAACACAAGCTACACAGCTACAGTAGCGTTTTTTTTTTTTTTTTTTTTTTTTTTTTAATCCGGACATCCGGACCTGTTCTTTCATAACCGGACCGTCCGGGTCCGTATGTCCGGTTGTCCGGATCGATGTCCGGTTTACCGGACGTCCGGATTAATCCAGAGACGGGTCCGGGCCTGGTGTCCGGTGTCTGGATGTCCGGGTCCGGGGCTGCCATGGTACAAAGGGAAGACGTGGGAAAGAGACAAGGGAGAGAGAGAGAAGGATGATGATGATGATGATGTGAGGGCACATACCTGGTGTTGGCGATGGTCTGCATGGGCGACATCTTCAAGTACTTCGGACGCTGCTGACGTCAACAGTTGCATTGTCAATTAGCAGGCTAGTAGTAGCTGTGTAGGGAGTAGGCTGGGCGCCGAGCGCCAAGTAGGGAGATAGGGACTGGATACATATGTTGGTGGTGCCGAGAGCAAGATCTCATTGACATTGGCTTTCAGTGCTACTATTCTCCATTGGTGTCATATTGGTGCAATGCTACTTTCTGAACACTGTGATACAATCTGGCTTTCAATGTGAATTGTGCAATCTGAATATTGTCATCTCGCTTCTGTTCATTTTTCTTGCTGTAAAACTATAAAATAGTATAAATTGTATTATTGTGCTTTCTTGCAGTCCGGACATTTCCGGACATTTCTGGACATTTCCGGACATTCCCGGACATTCCAGACAGTCCAGACAGTTGGGACCACAGCATGTCCGGATGTCTGGAAATGTCCAGAACTCCGGACGTCCGGACGGGTCCAGATGTGTCCCCGGTCGGATGTCCAGTGATGTTTGTGTCCGGGTTCACTGTAGCCATGGAAAAAATATATTCCGATCAACCTATCCTCAACCAGAGCTGCCGCTTATATATTTACAGGGTAACTGACGTTCGGGACGGGCCGAACGCCCGAACGTACGGGACCCCTTGGAGATGCGTTCGGCCGTTCGAGCCGAACGTGGACCAAAAAAAAAAAAAAAAAAAAAAAAAACTGAAAAACACTTTAAAAAAGATTTGTTAAGAAAAATAAAATAGCCAACATTTGCCTGAGCATTACAAATTCCTTAGCAAATTCGGGAGAAAAAAAAAATACAGAAAATAAAACTAATGCAAGGAAAATGAGAGATAGCGAGATGACAGAATCCAGATAGCACAATCACATTGAAAGCAAGAAAGTCCCACAGTGTCCAGAAAGCAGCATTGCACCAATATTACACCAATGGAGAATCAAAAAACTGAAACCGATTGTCAATGAGAGCTTACTCTCGTACCCACCAACATACGTATCCAGGCCCTCTCTCCCTACTTGGTGCTCAGCGCCCACGCTACTCCCTACACAGCTACTTCTTGCCTACAAATTGACAATGCAACTGTTGACGTCAGCAGCCACCGAAGTACTTGAAGATTCAGACCATCGCCAATACCAGGTATGAGCCCTCACATCATCATCCTCGTCTCTCCCTGTCTCTCCCTGTCCTTGTCTTCTTCCCACGTCTTCTCCCTCATGCACGAAGACCACCACCACCTCCACTGGCTGTCCAAGCCAAACCCTGGCTATATAGGGCTGGCTATGGCGCTGCCCTCAGCAGCACCCTGCCCTCTTCCAGCGCCCGTGCGCACTACCTGGCAACTAGCGCTAGTGCACAGCGCACAGCCTGCGAGCGCACTCTCAAGCAGCGCTGCCGCATGCACTGCCTAGTGCCCGAATGAGCCCACCAGTGGCGAGCTCTTTCCTTTATGGAAAGTACTCGCCCAGTTTGCTGTCTCGCTGGGCCTTGTGTGTTTCCAGTAGCGTCTGTGCCAAAGTTTGCGCCCAGGCCCATTCAGACAGTGGCCTGGGACCGATTTGGGTTAGGCATGCCCAACCACCCAGGAGTAAACGTGAGGTTCTCCCTGCTTTGCCTGTGCTGCTGGAAAAGCCTAGAAGGCTCAAGAATTATTTCTGATTCTTACGAGTGTGGAGGATGTAACCAACTGGCGCATGGCAACTGTCTGGAGCCCACCAAACTTAGCCAAAATTGACAAACTCAGGCCATATTGAAATTCAGGGGCCCGCCTTCACTTAGGGCGGGCTCATGCTCTCTGACAAGGGCCCTCCAGAGGCATGTAGAGGAGCAAACTCGTAGCAAGGCCTCATCGAAAATCCATGCCCAGATAGGGGTTCCAACAGGCTCTGCTTGGGCCCCTCAACCTGGTCTTGTAGGCCTATAAACAAGCATTGGCACATATTTGCAGGCCCGCCTTCACATAGGGCGGGCACAACATCTTTCAGACACTGCCGAGGATCTAAATCCTCGCACTAATAATAAAAATAAGAAAAAATGAAAAAAGAATTAAAATTAGTGAGTGAGCGAGCACGTTTTTGACATCGCCATCTTTGGTGATTTTTCACTTTTTTTTTTGGCACAGCCAAATGCACTGAAAATTAACAGATGTGTACTTCACAAAATACAAAACCCATTAAAAACGTTTCAAAAAATAATAAAATTGTTTAGGCCCCTCAATAAAGTGAAAACAAAGAGCAAAAAATGAAAAAAACAAAATAACAAGTGGGCGAGCATGTTTTGACACCGCCATCTTTGGCGATTTTTTATTTTCGTTTGGCTAAGCAAAATGACTTCAAAATTTATAGGCATGTAGCTCACATCATAGAGAACTCACAGAAAAAAAAAATCAGAAAAGAAAACTAATTTTTAGGCCCCAAAATACTCTTTGGCGGGGGCCGAAAGCCGTTGGGCCGAACGCCGTTAGGTTCGAACCCCGAACGGGCCCCGAACGCCCGTACGTACGGAGGTCGGCCCGGGGGCCTCCGTACGTACGGGCTGGTGACCCTGTATATATCGTCAAACAGAACCGCCCGGTAAACCGTCTGTAGAGAGGGAGAAGGGGACAACAAACGAGGGGCTGTGACAAACTGTTTCGTCGGAGTTTCACCGTCACATCAGGAGGTTGAACCCTCCATATAGGGTTCAGCTCCTGATGAGTCGGTGAAACTCCGACGAAACAGCTTGTCACAGCCTCTCATTTGTTGTCCTCTTCTCCCTCTCTGCCTACGGTTTACTGGGCAGCTCTGTTTGACGATATGTCACAGGCCCTCGTTTGTTGTCCTCTTCTCCCTCTCTGCTTATGGTTTACCGGACAGCTCCGTTTGACGATATATATCGTGTTTGATGATATACTTACCGCGCAGCTCTGATTGACGATATATCTATCTATATATATATTGTCACATAACTACAGACTAAAAGAGCGCACTTTGCGAAACACATGGTAAAGATTAAGAAACAAAACAAAGATGAGGGGCACACTGAAACCATTCATTCTTCTTTTAACTCCCCCTTCACCGTGCCACGTACAAGGCTTGCCACGTTGATGAAGTTGGCTGTGAGAAACTGTTTCGTCGGAGTTTCACCGACTCATCAGGAGGCCGAACATATATATAAATATTAAATAGATATATAGATACAATAATATATATGTAGAGAGAGAAGGGCATCGGCTGGGCAAGGAAATCTTGACAAACCAAATGTTTCCAGAAATTTCTGCAGAGGCGGAAGAGGAGAGGAAGAATCTCTGCAGACTTACATTCGACTGCGTGTGTTGCTCTCGGGATTGATTCGAACTCCTGCAAGCTTCAACTCTGGCTTAGCGAGATCTTCCACAGGTGGGAGCCCAGGCCGCTGCAGATGCACAATCTTGTCGCGGAGGGGAGAAAATGATAGCACAGGGGTAGGAGGGGCATCTACAATCTTCGCAATCTCAGGAGACGGGAACTGGTATGCAAATGTATCTGATCCTTCTACAAAGACAGAGTCAACAGAAAAGTAGGTGTGTCAGTATTGTCTTACCATTATCGGATTGTTTGTTTGCTTGTTTTGTTGCATGTGTTTGTCTGTTCATTTGTTTTGTTTACTCTGTTTCATTTGTTTGTTTGTCCTTGGCGTTCTTTGTGTTGTGCTGGTTTGCTTGTTTGTTTGTTTGTTTGTTTGTTTGTTTGTTTGTTTGTTTGTTTGTTTGTTTGTTTCTGTTTGTTTGTTCGTTTCTGTTTGTTTGTTTGTTTGTCAGTTTGTCTGTTTTTATTGTTTGTTTGCCGGCTTGAGTTGTTTGTTGGGCTGTTTGTTGGGTTGGTTGTTGTTGGTTCAACTTGGTTGGCTGGTTGGTTTGCTTGTGTTTGTTGCTTGGTTTGCTGGTTGCTTAGTTGGTTGGTTAGTTTAACAGAATGGCAATCATGTGGTTGGATAGGAGTTATTTCCTTCCTTACTTCCTTCTGCTCTGCTCAGAAGGTCAATCATTAGTAGCCAGCCCAAGATGATTAAGTTGTTTCTCTCCTTCCCTTGCCTTTGCTTCCAACTCAACCAGAAATAAACAGACGAAACAAGGCCCAACCTAACCAATCCAAACTAAACAACGCCAAGCTAAATCAAGTTTTAACCTAAAACCAACCCAAACCAATCCAAACCAGTCACAGACCAAACCAAACCAATTAAATGAGCCCTAACCAACCTCACCCAATCAGACCCTTAACCAATCAAACCCATCGAACCAGACCACAAACCTATCAAACCGACCAAACTGATCAAACCATTTGCTAGTTAGTAACAGGTGAGAATCAATCCTTCTTTCCTTCCTTTCTTTTTCCAAGTCAATCCAAACTGTGAAAGGATTCATGCTGCAGACACCCCAGTTCCAGTCCCAGAGTCCCGAAGTGTCCCAGTCCCTGGCTGTCCCAGTTGGATAGGCCATAGGATCCGTAGGCTGAAACGCCGTAGGTCGGTAGGTGTCGGTACTGAAGCGTCATAGGTCGGTAGAAGTCCGTCCCGTACACGACAAGAAAAGTCCACAAAAGTACAGTCCAGTTCAACGGTCCCAAGTCCAATTTGCAGCATGTCCCAGGAAAGTCCAGAATGTACCGGACCGACAAAATGTTTGCAGCAGACAGGCCGCGGCTGACCGGTATTGGTCTGAAGCAGGCGAAGCCAAGTCAAGTCCTATATTTAGCTGCTACAGTGCCGCGGCTCATCACTTGTTCATTTTGCGAGATGTGGAAGTGCTGCTGCTGCTTGTGCTTTAAGGCAACTTGGGCACCTCACGGCTGAGGAAGAAGAGGGCGCTCGAGTGTTACCTCATAGCTAGGGCAGAGTAGAGGCAGGGAGTAGGGCAGCCATAGCCGCCAAGGTTGAAGCTTACCTGAGTGGGTGTATCCAGGGTGACGGTCTAGGACCAGAGAGAGAGATAGAGTGAGGCAGAGCAGGCCAAGTCAGAGAGAAAAGCAAGACTTTGACAGAGAGAGAAGCCATAGCCGCCAACAAGTTCAGATTCCGTTGTGTGTGTGTGTGTGGGCGGCAGAGTCGCTGGAGACAAACATTTCTTGTATATTGATAATAACTTTGAAGACGACATCTTGATATCCTGAGTGTGTCTCGGTTTGGCTTCTCGCGTGTGAACTCTCATGTGAATGTTCATTGATGTATGCGACGTGGAACCTGATGAGTACTTGGTTCATTTCAGTGGTATCAGAGCTGGTTCCCGCTGCATTCTCTTGGCGTGAGGTGCTGGCAAGGAAGAAGGCCAGCGGGCGATACAAAAAAACAAGGGAGATTGAGGTTTGACTGCAAGTCGAGGGCCAAAGTTGAGGGGCATACCTGCCATCGTGGAGCTTCACTGACGGAGCGCTGAAGACTAGTGAAGTGCTTCTTGCCCTGGGCTTGCCATTCTGCATTTCTTTCTGTTGTGAATGGTACTTTCCCCCGTACTTTCCTGGAGACCTCTGCTGCAAGTCGATTTTTGTTGATGTCATCTCATCATTTGAGTCAGCAGTCACACTTATTGTCATCAATTTGATCTGCCTGTTGAGTCAGAGACCAATCTCTCCTCGAGGAAAGGCTCCTCCCCCTTGTGGGGGAAGAGGTTAGGGTTGCCGGTCTACCAGGCAGCCATAGCCGAGCTGCGCTGCTGTAAGCTGGGTGTGGCTCAGGGTGGTCCTTGGGTGCAAGTGGCATCTGTGTGTTGAGGAACGAGCTTGTGAGTGAGGCGAGAGACATACCTGGTGCTGGAAGCGTGCGGCATTGGCCGCTATCTGCTCGTACTTCGGGAAAGCTGTTGTCGTCACCTTCGGCATTGTAGTATAGGCTAGATAGGATCTGCCATATGTAGTCTGGGCGCCGAGCACCAGATAGGATATCAACATTGGTTCTTCGTTGATGATGATGATGGGACTATTTCAGCATTGTCAATTATGAACTCTTGGTGTGCTATTATTTGGTGAAACTCGTGATGCGATTCTGCTGTTGGTTCGAGATCACGACTATCTGGTCTCATATGTATGATGCTGTTTGATTGCTGAAGTTCGCTATTGCTCATCTTCCTTGCAATTTGGTATCCGAGCTGTGGTACGATTGCGCTCATCTGGCGCTTGTCTTCTGCCTRGTACGGTACATACATGCGGTCTGCTTGGCGAGTTTGGCTGTAAGTGGTGTGTAGTGAGGAGGGCGGAGATGAGTGATTGGCGACCCAGGAGGTGAGGGGATCGCCAGGAAGGCTACGTGTGTAATGTGGGTGTTGGACAGTGTGATGAGAACTATCTAATGGTTGACTGATGCTGAGGTGGAACGGCGAGACAATGCTGGTTGTGCCGATGCAGTGACTGGTCATCGCAATCCCGGACAACCCCCCTACCAGGCGGTTGGGGGAGACGTCCGGCCGAGACGTCCGGCCATCAGACGACTGGTAACCTAGTCTATAACCCTATATTTTTAACTTGTTTTTCTGTTTTTTTTTTTTAGCCATAAAAATATCTTTGTGTTAAAAAAAAAAAAAAAAACTCATTTCATCTTTTTTTTTTTTTAATTATGTTTTTGATTTTTTTAAATATAGTCAAAGCTCAAAAAATAAAAATAAAAATATAAGGTTATAGAGCTCAAAAATATCTATATCCCTGTTTGTGACGATATATAGCCCATGAAAAAAATCATCGCGAGTCTCATTGTAACCCGTCTAACGAGCTTTTGAACGGGATTCAACGTGGATTCAACGCGCGTTGAATCTTTCAACGCGAAACCCACGTTGAATCGATTTTCGAACACACAGATGATACGCATGTTCATGCTGTTGCCCTAGATGCGAAAGTGTGCTAAGATCCATACTTGTGTATAATTGTGATGAAAATGTGTCATCATTGTAAACTTGTTGGATATTTCATTTCTTTAGGTTAATATTCCTAAGTTTGACAGACATACCCATCCTCTCGCCCGAGACGGTTGTTTGGATGTTTTATGAGATCTTGACTTCTTTAGAAGTGTCATGATAGTAACACCCATTCTCTCGCCCGAGATGCGGAAGTGTACTTGGGGGAAGACGTTAAATTGCCCCTGGATCAGCCAATGATTGTAAGGCTCGTTGCACGCGGGGATAATCCAGTGCACGCCTGGCCAGCTCAGCAGATACTCGGGGCACAGGGGAACACACACCTTTTAGACACGCGGCGCTCTCCGGATCGCTCAGGGACGCTGACGTCAAGTGACATTCAGGGGAACTAAGGAGGGTAGATTTCAGGTGATCAGTTCGAGAAAAATTTCATACTGTCCTATCCACACAAATGATTCTATTTTTGTGTTTTGATTAGTTAGGTGTACAACCATTGACATCTGACAGACAACATTAGTTAGAACTGTTATTTGTTCCTTATGCTTCTGTTTGCGGACTAGTCAAACTAAAAATAGATTCGTTTGTAGGCATCTGACCTACCTGTTGACCCCAAATATATCTACTCCAAAATAGCCATCAATAAATTGGTCTGTGCACTATACTGCGGTAGGCACCCAGAGTGCATTAGTGCAGCTTGTGTACAGTGTTGTAGCTTATGAGCGACGAGGAGGACACTAGAGAGGACGACCGGATCTTGCGATCGGCAAGGCGCCCGATTGCCCACTTGGCATCAGGACCAGAGGGTGACAGGTACTTGTTCCGCCAATGTAGAGAAAGGTTCCAGCAGCAGAGGAGGGCTAGAGCAGCAGAAGCTAGTCGGGCACCTGTGAGTGAAGTCGCAGCTTCAGAAGCTATGGGTACTTCTGCGCAGCAGACTACTCAGGCCGGTACTTCAGGATCTGTCGGGTCAACGGTCGCAGAGAACCAGAGTCAGTCCACTGGCGTAATGCCAAGCCAGCCAATAGTGTTGACTCCAGACGAGATCGCCATACAACAAGCAGCATTGCCGAAGGTACAGCTACAGAAGGCATTAAAAGAGATAAAAGCGGCGAAGGAAAGGATGATTAGAAGAAGAGCCAGGATGCACAGAGACAAGCGGACGTTAGTGAGTTAGAGGAGATGGACTTGACGCACGTGACTGATGACGTGAGGATCATACGGTCCGTCCTGCTAGATGTAGTTGAGATGCAGGACCATCAGACAACCATCCTTCATGACATTCAGCAAAGTCTGGCCCTATTGGTTGGGCGAGAGCAGGCAACGTCGCCAATGTCCGGGCGTGGTGCCTGGCCCATTGTACAACCTCCTCCTTTTGTCCCACCAGCGACTGGGGTATCCCCATATGTAGCCCCATCATCGGTCGCAATCATTTCCCTGGACATGCCGCTATCAGGAGGGGTATCAGCAGAAACTAGTTTGCAGGTTCCTGTACAGACAGTGTTCACCCAATCTCCGTTGCAGGTTGTGGTTACCACACAGCCTGCTGTCTCGCAGCCTGTACAGCCACAGGGTACATAGCCCCAGCAGCTAGCACAGCGGCCCGTGTCACAGGGTCCACTGCCCGGAGTGATGCAGGGACCGGGACAAACACAGTGG